TTAATTTATAAAATTAATTGTTTTGTATAAAAATAATTTATTTAAATAATTAAAACAAAAAAAATAAAATTGGAAGGAAGTGGATGGCCCACGTGGCTTGCAATGTGAATTGCAAAATTTGCAATTATGAATCCTATGTGGCAAAGTTATTCTGACAACAATCCATTTGCAATTCAATTTGAAAGATGTATGTGGATGGTCTGAGTATTTTTACTTTCCGAACATTTTCGAAATGAGTTTGCTTAATCCTTCTGATAAATATTTTCGAGTTATTCAAGCTATCAAATCAAACATCGTGTTTATGGACATTTTCAAGCTCGAATCTTTCTCGAGCCTACGTAAAACGGATTTTCCTACACTTGATGAAGTTACAAGTCAAAGAATGGCTAAACGGATTCCCCTCGAAATGCAAAACTCGTCCTTAAGAGAAATCAGGCTCGTCCGGCTTGAACAGCTTTGGCATCTTCAAGCTGGACGAAGCCGGACTAGCAACACGTTCCTTCTGGCTGATCCCTCTTTTTGTATTAGCCGCAAATCTCGAAGCCAATATCGTAGCTCCCAAATGCTGGACATTTTGGTCGTTTTCGCCACTACCATCGTCATTGTCGTAGTATTGGTACAACCCTTCTTGCCTCGCCAGTTCTTCCGCCAGTTTCTTCCGCTTATGCCTTCTCCAAGCCGCTTGTATGAAACATGCCCCCCAAGTCCTCCATTGGTGCGAGTAATACCTGAAAGCAACCAAAGGGTTATTGGTCAGTGGTGCCCGGACTACTGGTAAATCCTGACCTCCCTTAAACCAAACTAAACAAATAAGGACTTCGTAAATCCTGCTCGAGGGTATGGTTCGGGGAGAGATGTATGCAGACTTGATAGAACAACTATTTCTGTTAAACCCTCGGCTTGTGCAAGAATCAGCCTCGCGGTCAATATTACCCTCCCGTTAAGATAATTTCAGTTTTAAAAATAAGAGGTAATCCTGTTCGGGTAAACAACCTGTAGATTTTAATTATAATACCTGAAAGCATGTTGCAGCTTCTTGCTGTGAAGTCGCTTGAACTGTTTTGCCACGAACCGTAGATCTTCTGCTCGAAGTGCAAACGCTTCCACTTCGTTTAGAACTTTCACGGTTCGAGTTGAGGACGGGAGACTGACATTCGATTCGGGCGTCAAGGCCCACGTCAGCAATTCTTCACCACAGAAGTCACCAGGCTTAAGAGTGATCGAGTTGAAGAATCCCGATCGTCCTCCGTTGGTCGTGGAGCTCTCGAGTTGACCTCTTATCACGAACGTCATCTCGTTAACAGGATCCCCTTCACGAACCAAGTATTGGCCTTTCGTGCTCAATGATGGAACAAGGTGTTCACAGATCACATCCAACAGCTGATCATCGTCCATTTGTGAAAAAAATGGAACCTGTAAAATAGGATACCAATATCATCTTTTTAGTTATTGAGGAGGTCATTCAGCTAAATAGATCGTTGTAGAAGGTGAGTAAGCTAAATAGCCGTGTGCTTAATGGAGTACAAGAGAAATAAAGAACTTACACGTCGAACAAGGGCCAAGCAAAGATGCCTCTGAATTTGGCGTCGTAGGTCCAAGGGTAAGGCACGAAGGATATCTTCTTCATCGACTCCTCGGGTAGCAAGCCATTTGTATTGAACAAACCTCCGGATTTTATCTTGTAAATCCGGTGGCAATTGTCTGTGCCTCATCCATTCTTCGGTATCCCTTCTCTTGACCCTCCACTCTTCGAGTCTCGCTGTCGTAGATTGGAGATATGTCTTCATCAAACAAATGTTCAAAACCAAATCAAACCATCATAATCCATCATGTTCTTGATTCTAATAGTGAATGTAAGAATATATGGAACCACATTAGATTACTCTCCAAAAGAGCAGTTCCATCATATATTTAGGAAATATGGTTCAAGTCTAGCCGATGTGATAATCTAATAGTTATAATAGCGAAAAATGACTTCACATACCTGCATATTGCCAATAAGCAGACAGAATATGACCAACCCCCCAAGGCAGACACTACAGCCGAATAGCGTTTCACCCATACTATTACTCGTCTCCAAATTCTGGCCATACGAACTGCATATCATCGAGGGGTTTAAATGATTTTAGCGAAAACTACAGTTAACATCCAGTTATGTCAATCAAATAGATCATACCTTAGGCTTTTCAAGCCAAACCAAAAGCAAAAGAAGTATTTTTCAAAGAAAGTTGCGGACGTAACTCCTTCTGTGAAGGCAGGAGCATACATCCCGAAAGTGAAATTGACCGGGCTAATTTCAGCACTACAATGATTCAACACCTGAGTTTCTTTTAACCATGCATCACGACCTGGCTCGTCCACATGGTCGCAATCAAAATAAAGACGATTGCAGGGGTGACTCAGGTTCTTCTCCTGTGCACATTCTTCTTTCCAGCACGAATATTGTCGCTCAACGGCTAGTAGATACCATGAAGCTCCAATAACCTGCACTGGCATCGTAAAGAAACAATATTATATAACCAATTGGTATATATGAGAATAAGCGAAACCCCATCAGATTACTCTCCAAAATAGCCCTTGATGAGAGAAGGGAGGTTTCAACATATATTTAGGAGAAATGGTCCAAGCCTAGCTGATGTGAGATTCTAATAATATACTTAATGGTTCTCCGAAGAAGAAAAACACAACTGTATAAAAGTTTTACAAATGGTGGATGGTTGCTTACATGGCTAGCTAGCATATACAGCATGAGATAGTAAGCGGCCCCAGCCCAAGCAGTCTGAGCGATTACACCCGTGGTTTTTGTGATGCGTTGATTCAGAGGAAAAATGATGAACAATCGTGGGATATACTGAATGATGATGATTAGAGAAAGGGAATGGTTGGCATGAGCAGTTGAAGGATTTTTCACAGCTGGAATGACGAACCATATGAAAATCTGCAACGAAAAACAAATGAACGTTCCATGTACGAAAAGAAATACCACCTCAATAAAGATTTACACATGCCAAACATTAACAAAAGAGCGAAAAAGTTCATTCTTGATGTATAATAAACGTTTAAAACCACATGTAAAGTCAATCTTTGAACCTACTTCAAATCAAAGCAGAAATAAAATCAAGAGTGGCAGTTTTTATAGATAAGAAAGGCACTCCCCTAACCTTCAATTTCAACCTAAGCCAAACCAAAGGAACCCAGTAAATCCTAGGGATTTTTAGCTCAATAACTTTCTCCGGAAGCTGGTTTTGCAAAATGACCCGTATTCCTAAGTTTTCAAGGGAACGGGTTGTTTTTAACCAGGGCAGGTCATGCTCCTAACTGAAAACTCCTATTAAGGTCATTTATCCAAAAGGACCATAAATCCCACACACGGAGGTAGGATCTTGTCTCTACCCCAAGGGAGAGAGAAGCTGTCTCCGTGGTCTTCAATTTCAACCTCAAAAACAAAAAACCGAACTCATGGTGGGTTAGCATTGTTATACAATGGGGATCTTAACAATGTAAAAATCATAGCATAACGATGGTGTTTCTAACCGGTAATTAAACGAAATTGTGTAAAATTGGAACCAATAATTATCACACAAAAAAGATACAGTAATACATGAAGTAATCATGAATGGACCTGAGGCAAAGGAAGAGCAGCAGCTAAATCAACCGCAAAACCTGTCCTCAAGTATCGAAAAGCAATCTTCCGTGCATCCATAACAAGATCACCCCTCCCAAAAACCCTAGAATTTGGGGCCACATAAGCTGTACGGAACTTAATGAAAATATGGATAAAAGCTATTATATCAATCATAGAACGCCAAACGGTGATAACTGCTGCAAAACCATAATCAGATCGCATACAAGACTTCCGCCTTGAGATCTCCGGAACGAGAAAGTAAAGTGGATCAACGAAAAGGGCATTGAGACAGGTGATTAAGAACATGTAGTTCCATCTGGCGATGAACTGGCCACCGGGATCGAAGATTTGAGTCCACCATGATCCCTTTGGATTATTGGGGACGAGTAAAGTAGGTTTTGTGGGTTGGGGGATTATCGTGGTTGATGAAAGACGAACGTAATTCATCGTGTTCATGATCCATGGAGAATTTCCTTCGAATCTGTATTCAATTTGATTGTGAAATAAGAAACCCTAGGAGAGAGAGAGTAATGAATGCGAGATAAAAGGGGGAGAATTAATGGCAAAGCGCGGGGATGCAACAGAAATTTAAACCAGTGGACTAAAAATTTAAAAGGAGTAAACTACAGTTTTAGTCCCTGTGGTTTGTTTATAATTGTAATTTGTGTCCTTATAGTTTATAATTCATTGTTATGTCAGTTACGGTTTATTTGATGATAAATTTTTTAAGGATTACAATTTTAACCGAAATGTAATGATAACGTGTGGTGCTCTTTTTAATTTGGACAAAATGCGCGAAATAGCAACCTACATTTACAAATTTTCTTATTATAGAAATCTACTTTCAGTTTTTCTTATTACAACAATGTACTTTCAAAATATTTTTTATTAGGATGTCGTACTTTCAAAAATTACCCGTTATAACATTAGGTAACCTTTTAAAATTAAATTTACTCATTATATCAAGTTTGTTTGCCACCTCATCATTCACGTAAGCTGTCCACATATACGATAGTGCTGACATGGTATTTATGATGTAAAAACGTTGTTTTTTTCGTAAAATCGACAAAATAATATTTGTTTTCATATTAAATAACGATAACCTTTGAGCTAGTATATCCAATCCCGATGTAAGGACTGGGAATGGGATGTTAGCAGTAAAGACGGATTTGGTAAGTCACCAATTTTCAACATCGTGTACCAACCAATAATCCAATACCGTATAGTTATACCAACCAACTGTATTTGGTACAAGTTCAACTGGTACGAACTCTTTTCGATTGTACATGTTGGTATTGGTTTTGTACCAACGTCAACTTGCATATATGAAACATCGCCATTTTGTTTAAATTATTTAGTGACATTTTGATTTTCCAGGTACCAAATGTAATGTTTTAAGGATTTTTAATTGTAAAAAGTAAAACTTACAAACATTCAAACATCCAAACAAAATAGTTAAAGTGACAATGTTTAATATTTCAATACTTAAAAACATCAAAACTAATAAGTCGATATCATGGTACCACCATGACAAGCAACTTCCAGTGCTCTATATAAAAAACAAGCTTGCATACTTGGTACAGTACTATCAACCGACTATAATTAATAACTTAGTTGGCACGGTTGGTATACGTAGTGGTTGGTTTAGTTTGGGACAAAATTGCCACCACCAGTACGCAAACTAGACTGCATACATCCTATTCCCGCCTCCAGAAGGGATATATTGGGTTCGTTTGGTTTTTATAACCGTAAACATACACTAAGAAGTTGAAGAGTGGGAGCCAATTAGAGATAATGTATTACTCAAATTCTCATAACTAAAGGTATGCAAAAGTGACAATTTCCTGGGAAGAAAGAAACGATTTGATGTATAATTATTGTTGATGAATTAGAAACTTCCAAAAAGAGGTGAAAATGTACATATGATGCAAGCTACAACAATCGGAAAAAAGTCGCACATCAAACGAGCAGCCACGAAGTTGAAGCCGTTCATAGCTCGGGGTGGTGTTCTTATTCTAGGCTCAAGCTTCACCATAAATACCTGAGGAAATGCGAATCGATGATTTAGAAAGATAAAAAAAAATAACAGAAATAATGCCAGAAAAAAGAGATGCATGCCAATGAAACCAGTAAGTCCCACTTGAAAGTAGGGTCTAGGATGGATGAAATGTATACAGATCTAACCTCAACCCAAACAGTAGAGCAGTTGTTTCATGCTGATATGGAATGTAGTTTGAATTATACACCTACATTTCCTATTTCAGAAATATTTGTACTTTTTTATTCAAAGTGTGCAAATATTGGTTTTGAAGATGAAAATTGATCTGTTTGTCTCATCTCCCGCTTTTTTTTCCACCTATTTTGATGGGACAGAAAAATGCATTTCTGTCCCACTCAATCATGTCAAGTCTCGGTCTATTTGTGCACGAAAAGTGAGACAAGAAGTTTTTGTTTTGTCCTGTCATGGATTGTCCAGCATGCCGAATGCACTAAATGACAAATCCGTGTATGCCACTTCTTGAAAGCTTGAGAAAAGATTATACCTTTTGCAGAGTTCATTAAAGTTCCGATACCCGTTGTAGAATATGAACCACATCAAGACCATGACCAAAGCATCTATCACGAGTTAAGATACCCAAAAGATTCAGAACTAGGTTAATGACAACATGTAATTAACACACCTAGGGGATCTATCCCAAAATAAAATGTCCACGATGAAATAATCAAACAGTTTTAAAAATATGTAATTATTACCCTTTTTAAATAACTAAATGACAATTTTACCCTTAATAATAGACAGAATAACGAATTTCTCTATCTCATAATGAATGGTAGAACTGGAAAGTATTAACTTACTTTAAAAAGTGGGCATTTATTCAGGGACAAAAGGATTATGAAGTCTGCTAATATCTTTTAGAAAAATAAACATAGAGAAATTGTTGACCAAACGCAATCATCAATAGGGTATTAGGTAAATTAAAGCAGTTCCTCATTCTTCATATGCAAGAACCTTATGTGGGTAGACTTGTATATGTAACTATCATTTGTATTTGCAATTCTTTTTTGGGTAACCATGGTATCCGGGCTAACCCCCCCGGCGAAGACAAATGTCTTGGAGTCATCGCAGGTGAACCTCCATGGCTACAAGGACTATGGCAGCGCCTAGATTTGGATTCAAAGGGGATCCAGGGAAGATGAGATTTCCACTACATCCCCCTGAGCCATGCTCCACAGACCAAACGAACAAGATAGCAAATTCAAAAACCAAATGAACCAAGTATATCCCACCTAGAGGTGAGGACTGCGAGGTACATTGCATGCAGACTTGGCATCTACCATAATGAATAGAACAGATGTTTATGACAAATAGCAGATTCGACTTTGGATGAAAAGGATACTGAACAAATAGCGCTCCCACGGGTCCAACATGTACAGTCCAAAAGTGACATTGTAAAGGAAGATCTTGCGTTGAACCCAGTTCATAGGCATGGTATCAAACCTAAGACAAAAACTGCAAGAGAATGTCATAAGCATTTACATGTGATGTTGTAAATCTTGAAAACCTAAGAAGCACATAAAGATCAGTCAGCCACTTTATACAGATTTCAAGAATATTTCCCTAATACTATCGGTAAAAAGTTGGATGTTTTTTTTAAATATATAATATTTTATATATGGCAAAACTCACGCACTCCTCACCATTAGTGATGCTTGAACCCTTGACCACCATGGAGATGGAAGTTGGCTCTGTTGGTAATACGGGTACCTTTGGGCCAATGACACTTTGGTTTAGAAAGTTGGATGCTATAGGAACAGAAACCCCATGTCGTGCTAAAGATTTCACTTAGCACTACCCAACCTTTGAAGTGTTTTTCGTTTCTTTTCTTTGAGAAAGCAAGATCAAAGAAACACACGCCCATATCGCCATTTAGGCCCGAACCCACAACCACATGATGCAAACTACATATATTGTTTCAAGAAACGGAATGCACGTTGATAACCATTTTCTGGTTTGTTTTAATGTCTATGCAATAATGTGGTGGCAAACCCCTCATTCTAGATGAGTGCTATCTGACCTGTGTTCAAAGGTTTCCCAACAAATGAAGATGGCAGATAATCATCCATGAGAGTGACCCAATGGTGCATAGAACGAAGTCACGAACTAGAAAAGATTGGAGGGGCGAGAGTGGTGTAGATGGGTGAATGAATTGTTGAAGGTTTTCAGGTTTTCATTTGCAATGGGTAGTTAAATAAGTTACCAAGCTTGTCTCATCTTCCTATTTGTTCCGCCTACTTTGGAGGAACAGAACAAATGCATTTCTGTTCCATTCAATCCTGTTCAGTCCTATGTTAATTGTCGCACCAAACATGGCACAACAAGTTTTTGTTTTATCCTATCATCTCCCACGTACCAAAAGCACCCCCCCCCAACAGAACTTATATCAGCCATGCCTGATCCCAGAAAAGAGGACCCAATGGCAACAACCAAAAGTGTTAATAATCCTAATGGCAAAATGAGATGGAAATACTAACATTCCCATTCATTCACTCTATTTCGATTTATTAAAATCTTATTACAAGTTCTACAAATTTTTCTTACTTCGTTGCAATTTCTAAATTCATATATCGTTTTTTTAATTTCCATGAACAATTCATTCATTATCATCCACTCACAAGCAAAGTATCAACTCATAACGCAGCATAGATTTGCGAAAGGATCGACAAGCGTCTAAACCCTTTGAGGTTGAGAATTACGGAATAGTAAAACTCAAAAACTCTCAAGGAGAAGAACTGTGTTAATTGATAATTTGCCGTATAATGAAAACATTAAAACCTACTTATAGACTAAGGGGATGTTTACCCAAATGCTTACCCGGTAAGTGCTTACCTATAGGAGTCAACACTATAATTTATTTTGATGAGTAAGATTTAGTACATCAAAACGTATTGAATGCAACAATTTACCGGGTAAGCGCTTACCTGGATAAGAGTCGTAATCTTCACTTACCGGGTAAGACTCTCCATCCTTTTCATCGCTCTTACCCAGTAAGATTATTGGCCCTTGTCATGTCCATCCAATAAGGAAATTTATTCAGTAAGCACTTACCAAGTAAGAGTTTAGTAAACGGCTCCTAAGCTAACTAAGAGATAACTGTGAAACTTAAATTCAAACTCAATCCTAATCCTAAATTAATTATGAAACTAATTAATTAAAGTAAACTATTAATAATTCTAATCTAATCATAAAACTGATAACAATAACTAAAACTATATAATTATCCTAAACTAATTAAGAAACAAAATGATCAAATAAACACATAAAAGCAGTTCTTTCGGGAATTGGTACGTCGCGGGATAAGTCACGTAAGCGACTGTGTTTCGACTTTTGATCCGGGTATTTGGACTTCTTTTGAGCTGGTTTTCGTCTTCTCCAAAGATCTAAGGGTATTTAAGTAATTTATCATTCTTATGTAACTCCCAAAAATTTTAATTGGGAGTTACAAATCTTAAATTATCACTAATTGATCTTCATGTAATAATGACATGAAGTTTCACATGTGATCATCTTACTGAATTTTACATTTATTCTTCCTATAATGGTTTTGATATTGTCAATTTGAAAAAAGTCCCTTTTGTAAACATTCCGTTATAGTCCGAGTAATATGGATAATCATAGAGTAAAACGGATTGACGACAATGAGAATGAAAAAGCTAAAAGCGTCTATGAATACATTCGGAATTCGAATTTCCGAAAGTGAAGAAAATGATCAATAAGTGTCCCAATATGAACATACGATAGCTACGAACACACTAATGTGAACACGCCTACATTAAAGATTTGAGTTCGGTATGATAAACAATATTTCTTCACTAAGTTTTGAATTTCAGTAAATCCACATCCTTGTTGCTCTTTTGAATTATCTACTTTGTGTAATAATAGATTTAGTTTTGAAGACTAACTACATAGGGGTTGTTCATTATGTTCATTAAAGATTTGACTTCGGAATGACAAACAATATACATTCTTCACTAAGTTTTCRATTTYWDTAAATTCACATCCTTGTTGYTCTTTTTAATTATCTACTTTGTGTAATAATAGTTTTAGTTTTGTTACTGTTTTATGTCATATAGCACAAATCATATCATGCTTATATAGGGGCTGTTCATTATGTTCGCTGTGCCATATTACTTGATCACACATATAGCGATTACATTTTTCATACTAGGATGCATTAAGACATTTGTGCACAGGCACACATATATTAACAGATATCAAATCAGCACAAATAACACAGACGTAGACGTTGGGATTCGTTA